CCTATTGTATCCAATTAATGGATATCTACTTTAATTTCATCAACAGTGGATGTCTCTCAAACATAAATTTAAGTGAGAGGCAGCCACTTACATCTCCTTGGAATCAAAGATTGGATGTTTTTAGTCCCAGCGTGGTGAACTAAATGGCTAAGTGATTTTAGCCTCTCTGGATCTTCACCTCACTGGATTTCACTTCCTTATTTGGGGTTGGCTTAGTTCAGTGGTTCTCAACCTTGACTGCACATTAGAATCACCTGGGAATCTTTTTAAAATCCTGACTTCTGGGCCTCAGATGAGTTTAAAAAGATTCCCAGGTGATTCTAATGTTCAGTCAAGGTTGAGAACCATAGGCTTAGTTGATCTCTAAAGTCCCTTCCAGTTCTAATTTATATTTCCTTTAGACATAATTGACTTGTTTTCATGGTCTTATTTTTCTGTGTTATATTGGGCAGATTGCCTAATGAATTAATGCTTTTCCTTCTATCACAGTTTTCTAAACTTTGGTCTTTAGTGTATGTTATAGGTATTTTTTTGGATATACAGTACCTATATTTTGTGTATTCTATTAGATCTTAATAGTTTTCTTTCAAATAATCTTAAAGTGACTGACTACTTTTACTTAGCACTGTTTTAAGTTATACAGTCTGTTGATTATGTGTGTGATATGGGATATTTTTCTAGTACACAATTAAATTAACATAGAAATGTTAAAGTATTTATTTCAGTGCCTCCCTAAGTCTTAATAGAATGTGTGCTGCTCTTTGGGAGACATCACTATATTTTGGATTTGTTTCTTCAACTATCCTTATCCTCTCCTAATATTTTTGGTATGTTTTCTGTACTTGCACAGACATGCCAGTGCTTCTGATTGATCTACTAAAACTATACTAATAAAAGGATACTATACTAATTAGACCGAGTTGACTGGACATTTTCCAGTCATCTTGCCTTCCTTCTGGACAAAGCTATGGTGGCGTGGGCTGAGGCAGAGGTGGTTAGGAGTGATCAGGCCCTCAGGGGAGGGCAGTTAGGGGTGATCAGGCTGGCAGAGGAGGGCAGTTAGGGACGATCAGGCTGGCATTGGAGGGCAGTTAGGGGTGATCAGGCAGGCAGGCAGGCAGGTGAGCAGTTAGGAGCCAGCAGTCCTGGATTGCTAGAAGGATGTCCAACTGCTGGTTTAGGCCCAATCGGCAGTCAGACATCCCCCGAGGGCTCCCAGATTGGAGAGAGTGCAGGCCAGGCTGAGGGACCCCCACCCCATGCACGAATTTTGTGCTCCATACCTCTAGTCCTATATAATAAAATACTAATATGCAAATCGACTGAATGGCAGAACGACCAGTCGCTATGATGCGCACTAACCACCAGGGGGGCAGGTGCTCAATGCAGGAGCTGCCCCCTGGTGGTCAGTGCACTCCCACAGGGTTTGTGCTGCTCAGCCAGAAGCCCTGAGCCAGGCTTATGGCTGGCGAGCACAGCGGAGGTGGCGAGAGTCTCTCCTGCCTCTGAGGCAGTGCTAAGGATGTTTGACTGCCAGCTTAGGCCCACTCCCCGTGGAGCAGGCCTAAGCCATCAGTTGGAAATCCCCTGAGGGCTTCCGGACTGTGAGAGGGTGCAGGAGGCCAGGCTGAGGGTACCTCCCCCATCCCCCCAGTGCAGGAATCTTGTGTACTGGGCCTCTAGTATTGGCCATAATGAATAATTGAAGCCTGTAGTGCAAAAGTAAACTCCCAGAATTACGATGTGTTTGATTTTGCTGGACACTTAGAGGAACTGCTACTTTGCAATTGCCTTAGTTCATTTTCATAACCTGAGGTTCTCTCTATGTACCCAGGTAATGTGACACTTGACTATAAGTCTATACAAGAACTGGTTTAATTTTCATCCTTATCATGAGAATTAAGTCTTTTAGGGCTATTTAGCTGACACCCAACTTGGTCAGACACTGTGGACTTTTACATTGGCCTCACTTGCTGTGGTAGCTATCACAATCAATATTTAGTTTTTCAGTTGGTACATTGGATAGGCACTCTTCTCAATATTTCTCTCTGCCTTTGTGCTTTCTAGTGTGTTACTTCTTCAATGCTCTTAAGAATTTTTGACATTTTTAGTAGATCAATCAGGCAGTCTTGTTAATATTACTAGAAACAATAGTTAATTTATTACTTTATTAAAATTTTTAAAATTGTATTTCAGGAGACATTAGGTAGAAAGAATAATAGATTGATTTGCTCTGTTCTCCTTGAGTCAGTCTCCTAGCAGATAAAGATCTGCTTTGTTGTTAAAGACTGGGTTACTATTTTAGTGGTAAAGAAGCTTATGAATAATAACTACTAGTCCCGGTGCACGAAATTGGTGCACATTAAAAGGGAATTAATTGCCCTAACCAGTGGATGGCAATTAATTGGCTCAGTGGATAGAGCGCCAGCCAGTGGACTCAATGGTCCCAGGTTCGATTTCGGTCAAGGGCAAGTACCTTGGTGGCGGACACATCCCCACTGGGGAGTGTGCAGGAGGCAGCTGATCGATGTTTATCTCTCATCGATGTCTCTAAATCTCTATCCCTCTCCCTTACTCTCTGTAAAAAAACAATAAAATATATTTTTTTAAAAAGGGAATTAATTAGCAGAAACATTTTAATATTGCTATTTGCCCTTTCTCTATAATAGAAGTGTGAAAGATGAAAGAAAATTAGTAAAATGTATCTGAAAATAATATATAAATTTATTAATAAATAAACAGTAACAAAAGGATGTAACAACAGAGGCATGATATAAAAACGACAAAAACATGATATGAAAACAACAAAAACATGTTATAAAAACAACAGTGATGCAAACAATAACTGATAAAGTGATTAAACTTATTCTAATATCTCCCTGTACACCACATTAAGAGTGAAAACACTTTCAGAGTGCTTGACTAATTTCCCTTGTGATGAAGTACTTAGAACTTTAACTGTAACATCACAGGCTCTTCAAACTTGAGAGAAAGCAACATATAACTGACCATGTGCAAAAATGGGTTCAGGTAGGAATATGCCTACTTTGTCTAGAGTTTGTCCTTGTGATTTAGTAATAATCATCACAAATGCTGGCATCACGGGAAACAGTTATCGAATCAATTTAACTGGGAGGCCAGTGTCAGATGGGGACAAATTTATTCTTGGAATCAGAACAGCCTCTCCCTCTGCAGATCCTGTTAATACTTCAGCTTCGATAATGCTAGGTCGTAATCTTTTGATAATAAATCTGGTACCATTACAAAGACCCCATTTACTATTGAGATTTTTCAATAGGATGATGATTGAACCCACTTTTAATTTTAATTTATGACACGGCATTCCCAAAGGAGTAATACTATTAAGAAATTCGATGGGAAAATTTTCCTTTTCAGCATCATCTGTGGAATCAATGGAAGCATCACTCAAATATGTGTGAAAATCTCCATCGAGTATATCCAAATTTTCTTCATTTAATTTTTGAACATGCTCATTTTTTGGACAAAGAATTGCACGTTTAGATATATTTTTAATATTATCTATAGCAGTGGTTCTCAACCTTGGCTGCACATTAGAATCACCTGGGAATCTTTTTAAAACCCTGATTCCTGGGCCTCATCCTCCAGAAATTGTTTCTTTGTTATGGGGTCGGGCCACAACATTAGTAACAAAGAAACAGAATTAAAACTTTATTGTGAGGAGCCACTACAGTGTTTTGGACAGGTTCAAGCCTTGTACTGATGAGAGGGCACAGTCCTCTCATTGCCACGTGCAAGTCCCAGCTTGGAGGGCAGGGCTCTCCCAGCACAATTATAGCCAACAGCTATAGTTGTAAGCTTGAACCTATGGTCCGAACACGTGACCCCATGTGCCTGAGTGATGTAGGCTTGCTAGAGTACAGGTGCATGTAGTTGAGTAGGATTGAAACCCAGGAGAATGTTGTGAACATCTTGGTCATGCCCTTACTTTGCCTTGTAGCATCTGCTATAAAATAAAGGCATGGCTGTGGGCGTGGTCGCTGTCTCTCAGAGTAGCAGTGTCCCACCGAGACCCAGCTTTCATTCTCTTGTCTGTCTTTTCTAATACTTTCAGCTGCCCCCACTCAGGTTCACTCTTGGCTGTGCTGGCACGGCACACTTTATAAAGATATGCCTCCATGCTCCCAGGGAGGGTTCCTGCCTCAAACCCCGCCCTTACAGGAAACAGCTCTGGGAAACAGCTCAGGGAAGGCGCAGCCGTTGCCAAGACAACCCCTGCAGGACTGACTTCCTTCTGCTTGGTCGAGGTTTTTATATAAGTACATAACTGTGGTTAATAATTATGATTGTGATTATAATGAGGAAAATTTATTTAGCCATTACATTGTGCCAGGTATTCTATACTTTTCATGCATTATTTTATTTAATTATTATAAAATGTCTTAAGTTAGTGTTGTTATTCCTACATTACAAAGCGTTACCTGAGGCTTAGCTACCCTGTCACTTGCTGGAGTTTATCTGGATAGTAAGTGGCAGAAATATGCTTCAAGCTGGTTCCTGGGCTCTGGAGATACAGGGTTAGCAAAGTCCAGCATACTTCCTGCCTTTGTGGATTTTACAGGATTTAATTCCTAGACTATACTTCCTACTTAGTCTCAGCACATATTCTAAGGACACTGTGGCATGGTCGGGGATATAATTTTAGAGTCTGAAAGCCTGATTCACTGGTATTTCCACTAACATTGAGGATAATGTCTCTTGTGAGGAAATGGTTATAAGTTAACACAAAAGTAAAATGAGAGATCAGCAAAGATCAGAACAGTATCTTTTAATTCCCTAAACACTGTCCATTCCCTAAACACTAGTACAGTGTTTTTATTCAGAGTCAGTACTGAATGAATGTTAATTTGAGTGTGTTCATTGGCTATAAGACAGTGTATTTTATTCCCACATTATGGTTTTTTATATAGACTAACCAGGATACTATTTTTATTTATTTATATTGTTCCTTATGTTTATAGTTATTTGCTGGTGTAAAGGATGGAGAAAGCCTGCAGCTCTTTGAACAGAGTTCTCGTTCTGCCCACAAACAAGAGACGCACACCATGGAGGCCATGAAGCTCGTAGAGTTTGACCTGAAGCAAACACTTACGAGGCTTGTGACACATCTTTTTGGAGATGGTAAGTACTCCAATGCCTTTGACTTTGGGGCTTTGCATATTCAGTAATTACCATCATTCTTAAGTCATTAATATAGCTGTGTCTAGATTCTTTTGGTCTAAGTTGTGCTTAATCGTTCAGGTCTATAGTGAAGTAGAACTTATGGATTTCCTGGTTCATTCCTGTGAGGAGCAGGAGTATATTAAAATAGAATTAACTAGAGAAAGAAAAAATGATGGTGTGCTGTAATAAGAATGAGAATGGATTAAAATCATGTCATTCATCAGTAGTGAGAATGTGTGCAGACTGATTAGTGTTCTTGCATAACTATATTGTCATTAGGTCAGACTTGAATGGTGGGGCAATATTCTCTTTTTTTCTTTTCTTATTTATTAAACATTCTTTAGTTACAGTTAACATTCAATATTATATTAATTTCAGGTATACAGGATAGTGGTTATACTTCTATATAACCTACAAAGTAATCACCTTGATAAGTCTAGTACCCACCATACATAATTATTACAATACTAGAGGCCTGATGCACAAAATTCGTGCACAGGTAGGGTCCCTAGGCCTGGCTGGCGATCAGGGCCAGTCAGGTACCTCGCCTCCCTGCCCCCTTGTTCGCTCGCCACCTGTGCTGCTACCAAGAGGTTCCCCCCTGCCCCCCCACCTCATTCTTCCTTCGCTCCCTCAGTGCCCCACTGCCACTGCTGGTCACCTGCTATGTTCCGCGCTGCCTCCTGATGGTCAGCACACGTCATAGCGAGCAATTGAACTCCTGTTCTCCCAGTCGAATTCCCAAGGGGACACTTTGCATGTTAGCCTTTTATATATATAGACTAGGGGCCCGGTGCATAAAAATTTGTGCACTCGGGGGGGAGGAGGGGCCCCTCAGGCTGGCCTACCCACTCTCGTAGTCTGGGACCCCTCGGGAGATAATGACCTGCTGGCTTAGGCCTGCTCCCGGGTGGCAGAGGGCAGGCCCAGTCCCTAGGTGCAGCCCCTGGTCGGGCTCAGAGCGGGGCCGATTGGGGAGTTGGGGCACCGCCCCCTGTCATGCACAGAGCAGGGCAGATCGGAAGGTTGCGATGCCACCCTCAGTCACGCTCAGGGTAGGGCCGATTGGGGGGTTGGGGCACCGCCCCCTGTCACACTCAAGGCAGAGTTGATGGGGAGGTTGCGGCGCCACCCCCTATCATGCACAGAGCAGGGCCAATCAGGGGGATGGGGTGCTGCCCCCTATCACGCACAGAGCAGGGCCCATCAGGGGGTTGAGGAGCTCCCCCCTGTCACTCACAGAGTAGGGCCGATAGGGGAGTTGGGGCACCACCCCCTGTCACACACAGAGCAGGGCTGATCAGTGGGTTGGGGCGCTGCCACTGTCACACTCAGGGCAGGGCCGATGGGGAGGTTATGGCTCTACCCCATCACACACACAGCAGGGCCCGTGGGGGGGAGGGGGTTGGGGCGCCGCCCTCTATCACCCACAGAGCAGGGCCGATCAGGGGGTTGGGGCGCCGCCACTCTCACACTCAGGGCAGGGCCGATGGGGAGGTTATGGCTCTACCCCGTCACACACAGAGCAGGGCCCGTGGGGGCGGGGGTGTTGGGGCGCCGCACCCAGTTACACACAGAGCCGCAGGGCTATCAGGGGGTTGGGGAGCTCCCTCCTATCAGGCACAGAGCAAGGCTGATCAGGAGGTTGGGGTGCCGCACCCTGTCACACACAGAGCCGCAGGGCGATCAGGGGGTTGGGGAGCTCCCCCCATCAGGCACAGAGCAGGGCTGATCAGAGGGTTGGGGCGCCTTCCCCTGTCACGAACAGAGCAGGGCGGATGGGGAGGTTGAGACCCCGCCCCCTGTCACACACAGAGCCGCAGGGCGGTCAGGGGGTTTGGGCACTGCCCCCTGTCATGCTGATCCCGGTCCCGGGGGGCCTCTCGGCTCCGCTGATCCCGGTGCTGGGAGGCATATTACCCTTTTACTATATATAGGGTAGAGGCCTGGTGCACCGGTGGGGGCTGGCTGGTTTGCCCTGAAGGGTGTCCTGGATCAGGGTGGGGGTCCCCACTGGGGTGCCTGGCCAGTCTGGGTGAGGGGCTGAGGGCTGTTTTCAGGCTGGTGGGTGACTGAAGGTCCCAACCTGTCCTTTTTTTCTTTTTTTTAATTCTGGGCCAGCTTTAGCTCTTGCTCCAGCTCTGAGGCCTCTGTTGCTGAGAGCAGGTATCTGGTTTGTTTGGGTTCTATAATCGAAACTCTGTATCAACTCCACCTCTGAGATCCCGGCTCGCTGAAAGCAGGTTTCTGGGGTTTTGTTTAGCTTCTATATTTGTTACAATGTTTCCAACTGCAACCTCAGAGGCCGGCAAGGCAGGCGGGGAACGTTGGATTCCTCCGTCACTGAAGCAAGCAAGCCTCATGTTAGTTTCAAGCTGCCTGGCTGCCGGCCGCCATCTTGGCTGGCAGTTAATTTGCATATGGCCCTGATTAGCCAATGGGAAGGGTAGCGGTTGTACGCTAATTACCATGTTTCTCTTTTATTAAATAGGATTATTGACTACATTCCCTACGCTGTACTCTACATTTCTGTGACTATAATTTGTACTTCTTAATTCCTTCACCTTTTTCACCAAGTCCCCCAAACCCCCTTCCCTCGGGCTACCATCAGTATTGAATAAAGTTGTTTAAATAAAATTGAAATAAAAATGTTTCAATTTTATTTGTTTTTTCTTTTTTTAGATTTCCCATATAAGTGACATCATATGGCACTTGTCTTTCTCTGACTGACTTTTTCACTTAGCATAATACCTTCTATCTCCAGTCATGTGAGGCAAGATTCTTAACCAAGATTCCTAACCATTCTTAACCACTGTTCTTAACTAGTGGAAAGTTTTACATACTTATATATTAATCACTACTGTCAACAGCAAAAATATGAAGAGTGAATTTCATAGAGGAAGAATAGTATTTTTTAAGAGCTGGACTCAGTTTTATTTAATTACTTGCTCTTGATTATTTCTCTAAGAAAGTTTTTTAAAATATATTTTTTACTGATTTCAGAGAAGAAGGGAGAGAGAGAGAGAAAGAAACACCAAAGATTAGAGAGAATAATTGATCGGCTGCCTCCTACATGCTCCCTACTGGGGATTGAGCCTGTAACCCTGGCATATCCCCTGACCTGGAATCGAACCATGACCTCCTGTTCATAGGTTGATGCTCAACCACTGAGCCATACTGGCCAGGCCCTAAGAAAATATTTGTTTGTAATGTACCCCCTTCCAATTATTTATGGCTTCCTTGAAATAATATTTTGTTTGTTTTTAGAAAGCTATAAAGAGTAGGTTATGAGACCTACAATTTAAAAATGTTTAAAAGACAGAAGCTAAGCTATTCTTATTCTTGTGAAATTTTTAAAAGAACAGCTTTATGAGGTATAAATGACAAAAAATAAACTAAACGTATTTAAAGTTCACAGTCTGCTAAACTTGACATACAATAAACTGAATGTATTAACACAATTTTATTAGTTTTGACATAGGTGTGCACTTGTATAACCACCAACAGAATTAAGATAATAAACATGTTCATCCTCCCCAAAAGTTTCTTCTTACCCCATGCCCTTCCCTACATCTCCTCACCCCAGGCAGCTAGAGAACTGCTTTCTGTCACTTTTTTATTTTTTTATTTTTATTTTTTTTTACAGTGGTTAGATGCCACAAAGTAGGTGGCAATGCCTTAACCGTACGTGTGTTGTTAGGCCCGAGAGCCTCTTCCATCCTTGTCAAGGGGAGTGCTAACCTTCTCTCCTTTCATACAACACTGCTTTCTGTCACTTTTGATTAGTTTGCAGCTGTTAGATATACATAAATAGAATTCTGTAATGTGTATGTTTGTTTGTTTTTTGAGGGGGTGGCTTATTTTAGCATAATTATTTGGAGATCCATCCATATTGCAGTGTATGTCAATGGCTCATTCCCTTTTATTGCTATGCCTTCCATTCCATAGTTTGTTTATTTATCCACCCATTGATAGACATTTAGGTTATTTCTAGTCTTTTGCTATTACAAGTAAATCTTCTTTGTATGGACTTATGTTTTCATTTCTCTTCAGTAAATACCCAGCAGTTGAATTGCTAGATCATAGGGTAGGTGTATTTTAACTTTCTGCTATGTCACTTAACCGTTGTCTGAAGTGGTTGTGCAATTTTACATTCCTTCTATTTGTGTATGAAGGTTCTAGTTGCTTTACTTCTTTAACTACACCTGACACAATCAGTCATTTTAAATTTAACCATTTAGTGGGAGTGTAGTAATATGTCCAGTAAGTATTCAAGAATATTTAAACAACTCCAAATAAACAAGTGAAAATCAACTTAAGAGAGACATGGGTGAAAATGAATGTGACAAATTATGTAGCTAAAGGACTAATGAATACCTAAAAAAAAACATGCTCACCCTTATTAGTAATCAGGGGAATGCAAATGAAATCCACCATTAGCTATCCTTTGCACTTATATATATAGAATTATTTTTTAAAATCTAACATTTGTAAATATTGACAAAGATATAGAAAAACAGAGGTAGTAGAAAGTCCTGGTCCTGTGCAGGAGTCTCAGCTACCAACCCCAGCTGGAACTCGGGTACTCAGTATTGATTCACCTCTGTTTTTTCACACCTTCAGGTTCCCCTACTTACCTGTGAACTCAACTGTGTATTTAAAAGGATTCTAATTATAATTTACTAAGTTTCTAATGCCCTGTTTTAGCAAGACTTGTTAGAATATCTAGACTTTCATATTCTCAAATGCATAGTTCATGTAATATTTAAGAAATCACTAACTAACCCTGTGTATTTTAAATATATATACATTTTAAAAAAGTATATCAGCTGCATGCTAGTGGATGTTTTTTTCTAGGAGATGGAGGAATGGTATTAGAAAAGAAGTACAAACCAGGCTTTAAGTGTGTTCATAGAATTTTATTAAAATAAAGAAGATAAATTAAATATGAAAAATGT